TATGTTTTTTCACATTGCTATATCAGAAATTCTGCTTTGATATTCACAGTAAGGTGCATCAAAACTCTTGCGTTACCTTCACTCCTGATAAAACGACAAAATTTGCTATTTATATCTGACACTTGAGAACAATCTCCATTTTTATTCTACTATTTCCAAACTAGAATCATAACTTAGAGCTATTAAAGCATGGAACTGTACTTCTTCTTTTGAGATTCTTTTTAATTTAGCAAGCAACCTGCAGGGATTGTACAACTCGAGGATGTTTCTGTGTTGGAGAGAAAGGCTCTATGGTAAGATCTTCTTTAATTTGTTAACTTCAGAAACAGCGCCATTCAAGTGTATGTCGATATAATTTGATACAAATACTTGATCCAGCTTTTCTCATAGGTATCCGCTTGTTTACCAGCTCAGTTTACAGCAACATTTGTATTATTTTCCCATAGGAACGCGTTGTGTTCGTATTGCGAGTGTTTGTTGGTGTGATGTAGCGTTCAGCGTCCCCCTTAGGTGTTCTCAACCTCCTGCTCGGGTGAAGCTCTTGTTGTGTAGATAGATTGAGTTTAATGAATCAATACAGCGATCTGTGTTACATCGCAAGCGCCTGCCGACCATCAGCATTCTACGGAAAGTCCAGGGAGGCACACGAAAACAGATTGCACCTCTCCGTGCCTCAGTCCCCTCTTCTTCCGCTCTACCTATGCTGCATTACTGCAGTCAACGTTACACAAGCGCTACATAATCGTATCAGTAAAGTATGGTTTCAAGCGAAGCTTATGAAAAAGCGGTGTTGTACCAAAGTGATAAGGTAGAGCCTGCACATACCCATGACTAAGCTCCCTCGCATTTCTTGTGCTCTCATCCACGACTTGTTCTAAATGGTTAAAGTGCAGCCACATTTGATCACGATTTGATCATTTTCATTTTCAGGGAGCACCCGGACCGCAAGGACCGCCTGGTGTACAGGGTATTCGCGGTTTCCCAGGTCCTGAAGGACTAGCAGGACCGAAAGGTCAAAAAGGTGCACAAGGACCGCCTGGTCCACAAGGTCCGAAAGGAGACCGAGGACCTATTGGTGTGCCCGGATTCCCCGGAAATGATGGCGCAAATGGACGACCGGGAGAACCTGGTCCACCAGGAGCTCCTGGATGGGATGGATGTAATGGAACGGATGGTGCACCCGGAGTTCCTGGGCGACCTGGACCACCAGGTATGCCCGGATTTCCTGGAGCTCCAGGAATGGATGGACCCAAAGGAGAACCTGCCTTCGGTTATGCTGGCCTGCCAGGAGAAAAGGTTCTTTATGACTCGCATGTATTCTGTTATTAGGGATTATCGTAGATGATTTTAAGGGAGATAGTGGTATGGCTGGCATGCCAGGTCTACCTGGACCACCAGGAAGAGATGGATACCCTGGAGAAAAAGGAGATCGAGGAGACGTTGGACCAGTTGTAAGTCGCTTTGCGGAGTAACTCATACGTATGTTGTAATGCGAATTCCTTCTTAGGGACCACGAGGACCTCCTGGAGAACCTGGAGTTCCAGGAAATCCTGGTATTGGCAGTATTGGACCTAAGGGAGATCCTGTAAGTGCTTTGTTCTACATATGTTTCGAAACGTTGGGGTGCGTTGCCACTTCCTTGTGAGGTACTAGAGGTGTAAAGGGAGATCCGAGAAGCCGTATACGGACATTATAAACCTGATAACATGATAATTTGAAGACATTTCAGGAGGTAAACGATGAGAG